CTTCACTATATTGAGAGTTTACAAGTTTGACTTGCAGCTATAAAACATTCATGACTAGTGATTTAAGAGATATGCACCACCAGACTGGAAAAAAGAAAGTAAAATTAGTATTATGACTAATTATAAATTAAAATTGACGAAATTGACAATAATATGAAAACATTACCTCAATAGTTTCAATCTCTTCAAGCGTTAGAACCCTTCTTTTATACTTATCGGGTAAATCTGAATATTCTATAATATGTTTTTGTTTATATGATATATTATTTGTTTTTAATTCTTGTGATTTATTGTGAGAGCTTGAAGGTAAACTTGAATCTTTTGGTGCCGCTGGGTGAGGCTTTGGTGCTTTGTTCATTTGTTCTAATAATGTAATTTTTTAAAGAATTAAAACTGGTACATAAATTTAATTACTTAAAAAAATATATTATATTTTACCTTTGTGAAGTTTGGTTCTTGGACCAAGAAATTTAATGTGCGGAACATGTTTCTGTAAAGCAAATCTTATTCTTGAGGGATTCATATCTTATTGTGTTTATTTCACGGTCAAAAAAAAACAAAAAACAAATATGGACGAATATAAATACTTTATTAACGTTACCAAAAGAAAGAATAAATTATCAACATTTACCTAACTCTGAGATTAGATTTTAGATAGATTTAGATATTTTAGATGCTTGAGAGATATATGCCGTGTAACACAGATCATAGAATGGCTTGATGGAGAATTTGAATCATGCTTTTAAATTAAAAATGTACAAGGAAACCCGATAATCCCGAACATTGCAGCATTGTGGAGAGATCTAAACATTCGATATTTTATCGTGATACATTGAAGTGTGCGATGTACAGCAAACTATATGTGGTATTATATCATATAAAATATTATTTTACTTATGTACTATCTCTATAATAATTCCTCCCGAATTTTAATGTAGTTTTAACAGTTTAATAGTTTAAGATAAAATTTTGGAACGATGTCTCGCTATGAGCTATTTCTTTCTTTTATGATAAATTGTGAAAAAATTTTAAACCACTATTTTTTTTTTTAAAAAAAACATTAAATCGTTAGGGCTACACATCTATTTAAAATTCGCGAAGAATTTATACGTAGTACATACATAAGCAAAATAAATTTTATACATATGACACCCAGTACATTTTTGAAACTAATTTTAAATTTTTATATTGAACTTAAAAAATCAATCTTTCTATTATATCTGTGGGACAAAAAATGCATAATGCAGTAATGGATACGTATAGTTTAATTCCCAAATGCAGAAAAAGGCTTTGCTTTAATAATAATAAGCCTTTTTATACGTACACGTATAGTTGAGAAGATTTTTACAAGTGTTTGTATAAAGTTTAAGTATCCCAATTCGTTCTATAGAATCATATTATTTTGTTTCACACATGTTAAGTCATTCTACGTAGAAACTATAAGGGCTTGGCAGCAGGGTGATAACCTGACACATACAAATAAGCTTACTAAAGCTAAACTTATAAACTGATTATTTGTTAAACATACCTCGATAATTGTGTGAGTTGAAATATATTATGAGTTAATCGGCGGAATTAGGAATTGGATCTTAAGATAGAGACACCAAATTTTATAGAACAATCACTAAATAAACTTTTCATTGAGAGAGTTATATTAATATTTTTTAATTTAAAATTTTATATTTAGTCATTCATATCACAAAGTCGCAGCAACACTAGCTAAAATTCATTGGTTCATAGGTGGTTGTTTCATTGGCTGGACGTAATTTTTTATTATCGGCGAACATATATAATAAAATTTAATTACTTAAAAAAAGGTCCAAAAAATAATAAATTAGAGAATACGCGATTTACCCAATAATATTGCATGTTATTGAAGTACAAGTTATTTATTATGAGTGAAGGACAAAAACTTCTTATTATTTGAATAAAACACCACTATAAAGAGAATACATATGATACACTTAAAAAAATTGTACAAGGTTAATAATGGACCAAGACACGTATTTACTAATCCACTCAATAAGGTGATGACTTTTGTAACAAGTCTTTTACATATTTTACATATTCGTGAATCGTTTCATCTAGAATTTCGTAAATATCCTTGCAACCTGGCGTTAATACATGGGGTTGAGTCAATAGAAATCAAGCAAATTTTTTTTAGATGAATTTTTTTGAAATTTTTAACCATTAAAATAAATATTACAAATTGTAGAATTCATTTATCAATAAAAACAATTTTGCTTGATTTCTATTGACTCACCCCCATATTTGAATAGTACAGTAGTAGTAATCAAATTTTAACGTTGATATTAACTTTATTATGTATTACTTGAGCTTTTTGTCTAGTCTAAAACTAGTAAAAATTATATATGTCGAATAACATGCCATTCGACTTATCATTCGACATATTCGATTTGTCATTCGATATATAGAGTCTTGGTCTTGAAAATCAAATTTTGATCATATGATTTACTATGTCCCGTAAGGTTATTTTCAAGTCAAAGACCCCATATCATTCGGCGAAACCTAGTTTCGACTTTCCGAAAAAAAAATTTAAAATGGCGAAACTGGCGAAAAGTGGCGAAACTTGTGAAAAGTGACGAAACTAATGAAAGGTGACGAAACTAATGAAAGGTGGCGAAACCAATGAAAGATGAAAGGTGGCGAAACTGGCAAATGGTGATTTAATAATTCGACCAAGCCGGTCTGCATTTACGTAATGCAGGCCAAAATTTCATGTGCATAGGGTTGTGTTACAGAAATTACAATTTTACATATCAGACATAATTTCGCAAAATTACATAAAATTACGTAAA